ATATTGTTTATGCAAATCTTCGTTTATTTATAAGAGACTATAAATGTTGTTTTTCATCAATACCTACTTCTTCGAAGTAAATTTAAAAGCCCTTAGTTTTCCTACTGAAATTTCCAAAACTTCTGATTAGTAGTCAGAGATTTGATAAACATTTTTGTTAGAAAAAAACGTAGTGTATATCTTGAAGGCTATTACTGTGGAATCAACGAGCTCATTGACATATATGAAACTATTCTATGGTGTCATGCTCTTTCTCATTAAGACACAGTTGTTCTCAAGTGGTATTCCCTACGTTAAGTTTTATACTATTTGAACAACAATCGAAAATAGGCTTAAAATACATTATACTAGAACTGTGACTCACATTTTTGGATAAACTCGTCAGAGTTTATTTTCAATTATGAGATCATCTTGCAGACAGAAAAGGAATACCATAGTATTTTGAAGGGCGTTTCATTGCTTAGAAATATTTCTGTGTTATTTCACTTTCTATTTCGCTTTATTAGATTAAAAATTTATCTTTAATATATTTAATAACTATACAAAGATACAGAATTAAAAGAAAATAATATTACTTTTTTTTCGAGAATTTCTTTGCAATACTAAGATGAAATATGAGATAAAAAACAAACAATCTTTCAAAAAATAAAAAAACAGCACCAAGAAGAATGCGTCATAACAAGAAAAACATTTTTTATGACTTAAGGCAGAATGTTTTTGTATCTGCTGATTTAGAAAATGGTTTTACTTCAACATTATAGAGTGATAATGACTTAACATAATGAATTTTCAAAGTATTTGGAATAGGTCGAACTTTAGCCCAACGTTGATCAAGTAATGGTGATTGAGATGTAATTTGTTGTGTATTAATAAGAATAACATTGATGCTCTTGGTAACTGCAGATGCATAACGTACGAAATCTTTTGCATTATGTATGATACATTTGTTTGCCATAACACCTTTCCACACTAATCGTTTCACCGTTCCTCCTATTCCGTCTACAGCTCCACGACCGTGACCACTGGAAAAAAAATTCCAAATTAACCCTAGTACTACCAGCCTGGGTCATTTTTGACCCGTACTCAAAAATTTGAAAATACACCAGCGATTTTTTTTTATCTCATAGTTACAGGAAGCAACTAG